CGGGGCCTCTGGGCCGAGACGCTGCTGTAAAGACGGAGAGGAGGAGACTTGTGGGGGGAAGGAGGTGTGGAGCAGGAGGCGGGGGCGGAGGCGGGGACTCGGAGTAGGGGCGCCGAGTTGGGGACCGAGGTGACCGAGGCCGGGCTGTGAGGAGGGAGCTTGGGGACCCAACGGGCGGGGCAGGTCGCTCCGTGCCACCCCCGCCGGATGCACAGCCGGCCCTCTCCGCGCCCACGTACCCACGTGAGCGCCCCGCGGCTACATTCCTACTCCCTCCACCACCCCTACCCCTCTGAGCTGAGAGTACAGTTTCACAACCACGCACAGGTATACAAAGGCACAAAGCAAGTACGTGAACACGCGTCTAAACAACTATGTGGAAGCTCGCTGCCCACCCGCCGGCCGCGGTGTTTTAGTGTAAATACTAGAAGCGATCGGGAAAAGTTGGCAAAGGCTACGTGTGCGGTTCCTCCTTGAGCATCTCTTATACAGTGTGCACTAGGGGCAAGTCACTGAGCGTATTACTCTCTAAGAGTCCCTTAGGTATCAGCTCTCTTTCCCAGTCCCCAAAGGTATAATTTGAGGAGGGGGACCTCGGAAACCCAGGCCTCCTCCATCCTTGCCGGTAGTTGTCCCCGAAGTTTGGGGACTGGAGATGGGCGGGTTAACCCAGAAGCCTCCACTTGTTCAAGCTTGGATTGGACTCAAATTTTGTTAGGTTGGACGGGAATGGGACACCCTGACTTCCTCTACTCGTGGCACCCTATTTACTGAGGACGAGTGTCGGGAAAATGAGGCTATCTTCTCTGGTGTCATCTGTTAGCGGACCTCTCCGGACCGTGTTATGGAAGACTAGCAGGCCCGGAGCATGCGACATGTCTGTCCATTGAGGAGGACAGCCTTCAAGGAGCCCAACCCCCTCGGTTTCTTCTAGCCCCATCTGGTTCCCATTACACAACGCCCACGGCTCGACTCTGAGGGCTGGGAGGGGGAAGTGGGTAGGTGGGGTCCGTGTAGGCCTTGGGGAAATGGGAGGGTGGCGGTGGGAAACCGGGCGGACTGGCCACAGGCAACGTCCCCCCAGTTCAAAACCTCAGCCCCGCCCCACTGTTCCGCAGTTGTGAGTGGCCTGCCCCGGCAGGGCGTGGGTGGTGGGGGCCGGGACTGGTTCTACATTCCAGGCTTGGTGAAGGGATCTTGCCGTTTCTGGTTGAGGGATGGGCCCTTTATGGGGAGGAGAGATTTCAGTAGCTCAGAGTCTGTCTTCAGTCCACTAACCCCCAAAGATAGTGGGGATGATAGGAAGGGGCAGAGTCCTGAACTCCCTTCTCTCGAAGGGAGTGCCCGGGTAGACGGCTTCCCTTGGGGTACTCCGGATCCCTCCAGTGTGCATCGCGCCCCTCCCCCCTCCCTCCGGTTATTTTGGAGTCTGGGCTGCCAGCCCCTGGCCTCGGGTTTTCACGTGCCCCCGCCCTCCCCCTGCCCACGCTCCCTGTGACGCACATCCTCCGCCCACGCTGCCTCTGCTCCGGGCGCCCCCCTCCCTCCCACAGGTCCTTTGGGCGGCGCTGAGGCCCGGGGTGTGGAGGGAGAGGGCCACTGGTGGAGCGGTAGGGGGAGGAGGAAGAGTGGGGCGTGAAGCCAGGGAGCAGCAACTTACTAGCAGCTGGGGTCCTGATCCTGGAAAGAGGAAGGGGGACAAACTGATTCTGACTTTTGCTCCTGGGTTTGAACAGAGATGGAGAGAAGGGGCTTGTCTACTACTAAGAGAATGGGTCCAGGTGCGAACCCGGGTGTGAGCGTGTGTCTGCAGCTTTGTTTTAGACTTGCCATGAGGTTTAGAGAATGGATGTGAAAACTAAATTGTAGAAAGCTAAGTAGATTGAACACTATTGACAGTATCTTGAGCTTATGTGTTTTTTTACATCCACTTGTGTATCTGTAGATTTGTATCGGAGCCCCTAAGTGTGGTTTTAAAAATATATACATTAAAAAAAAAACCCTTGACTTGCCAGGTCCCACCAAAGGCCCAGAGCACCCCCGCAGCCAGAGCTGCTGAGAGGTCTGTTCGCTTTCCTCCTACGGCTACCACTCCCACACACCCGCCTACTCCCTTCCGCTGAGAACAAGGAATTTCCAGACTTTAGCAAGGGGGGGGGGTGAGAAAGAGAAGGGAGAGATGGGAATCAGAAGGAACTACACCAAGGGCTGTGTGTGTGTGTGTGTGTCTTGGGGGGAGGTGACAAAACTGGAGAAGGTAGAAATAGAAAATTTTCATTTTTTCCCCCTGCTTGGACCGCATTTCCTCTTTCCCAGCCCCCCCCATTCTATTCAAGACCACCCCTCTATTCTCAAAGGTGGAACAGAGCAGTTGATCTCACTTGATCAAAGTTCAATATTCCCTTTATTGTCTTTACTGATTCATTCTAGGAAGGGAAACAGTAACCTTAGTCCTAGTTCTCCAGGAAAGGGGTGGGGGAGACTGTGAAGAAAGGGGAGAAAGTGGGTGGAAGAGGAGTGAGGATGCTGAATGCCAGAAGGATTGTCTTCCCCGGGCACGTGGAGATTTTCATCTTAGCAGATTGCTCCACTCAGAGACTCAGGAAGGTCTGGCTCAAACTCACCTTCCTGGGCCCCTCCTTCCTTCTGGATTCCCTTAAATTAATTCTTCCCACCGTCTGTGGCTTCGTGGGTCTTTGTGCACTTGTTTGATCTGGCTGCTTGTTTCACTCGGCTCAGGAGCAGGCCTGAGCCAGCCCAATAGTCTGGTAGGCCCTCAGAAACAAGTTGATGATGCCATTTACAGGTGTGTGCAGCTTTGAACAGGGCAGTTAACACAGATTTTACTCCAAAAGGACAGAATAGTTTGTAGAAACATTTATTTTCTATGCCTTTTAAAGAATATATTATTTTTATTTTATGTGTATGAGTGTTTTGCCTGTAGGTATGTAAGTATACCTGTGTCATGTGATGCCTGTGGACACCAGAAGAGGGCGTTGGATGTCTGAGACAGTTAAGCCACTATGTGAGTGATGGGGACCTAACTCATGTCCTCTGCAAGAGCAGCCAGTGCTCTTAATTGCTGAACCATTGCTCCAGCTGCCCCCCCAATCCCTTTAAAAAATATTTTCCTTTTATTTTGTGTGTTCTGAATGCGTTACCTGCATGTATGTAAGTCCACCCGTGTTGTGCAATGGTTTCAGAGGTCAGAAGAGAGCATCGAATTCCCCTGTAACTGGAGTTATGGAGGGTTGTTAGCTGCCAGGTGGGTGCTGGGAATTGAACCCAGGTACTCTTGAAGAGCAGCTAGTACTCTAACCACTGACCATCTCTCCAGCCCCCGCTTCCCCATCCCTTTTTAAAGGCAGAATATGTAGCCCTGGCTGGCCTGGAACTGGCTTGTGTAGATCAGACTAGCTTCAAACTCACAAAGATCTGCCTGCCTCTGCCTCAGCTTCTGTCTCCTGAGTGCTGGATTAAAGGCATAAACCAGAGGATGGCTAGCTTTGTGTCTTTTTTTCCTTTTGGTTTCCAGTGAGTTCGAAAATCTAGCTTCTTGGCATCCTGAAATGTCTTCTAGGGTGGTAAATTAATTTGCCAAGTACTATCAGAGGAGGGCTTAAATCCTGGTAGTAAAACAAAAACAAAACCAAATGTAAAGTTATGAGCCTTTGACTCAGTAACCTGTCAGAATTTATAACCTAAGAAGCATCTTTCAGTGTATAAGGAATACTCCATCTCTCAAAAATAATCCTAATCTGGGCATATAAAGAATTCAGGCTGTTGGCTGGGCATGGTGGTGCACGCCTTTAATCCCAGCACTAGGGAGGCAGAGGCAGGCGGATCTTTGTGAGTTCGAGGCCAGCTTGGTCTACCTAGTGAGTTCCAGGACAGCTGGGGCTACAATGAGACCCTGTCTCAAAAAAGAAAAAGAAAGAAAAAAAAAAAAGAATTCAGGCTGTTAGAAGAGATAACCATATTAACAGGTTCAACCTAGTGAAGGGTAGGAGACAAATACAAAGATGAGAGATCTAGTCTGCTGTGTTTTTAAGGCTGAGATAGACAGGCATCCAAGGTAGATAAGGAATGGGTCCAGGATTTTGAAGTGTGAATAGATTTCCAGGAGCAAAAGAAGTCAAGTAATAGAGACAAGAATGTGAGCCTGCATGGAGGTATAAGAGGAAACCCTATGTTTTGGAAAATTGTATAGACCAGTGTGTCTCAAACTGTGGTTAGGGACCAGGTCAGTTAAAAAAAAAAACCCAACCTGCTCTAATTTTTAAATTTTATTTTTGTTTATTTTTTGGTCTTTTTTGAGACAGGACCTCCCTGTAGACCCAGCTGGCCTAGAACTCACTATGTAGACCAGGTAGTCCTCGAACTCACAGAGATCTGCCTGCCTCTGCCTCCCAAGTGGTGGGTGTAAAGGCGTGTGCCACACTTGCTTGGCCCTACTCTTGTGTGTGTGTTTTGCTTTGATTTTTTGTAGACAGATTCTCACTATGTAGCCCTGGGTGGCTTCAAACTCACAGAAATCTACCTGCCTCTGCCTATGGAGGGCTGTGATTAAAGGCATGTACCACTACTCCTGACTTTTAAATTATTTTTGTAAAATTTTGAGGCGTCATATCACTATATAGCCCAGGATAACCTGAAATTTGTCATGTTCTTGTTTCTGTCTTCCCAATACTGAGATCATAGACTTGTGCCACCATGTCTGTATCCTATTTTTATAAAATACACTGAAAGTGCACTTAAAAAAATCAATCATTATATTCAATAAAATTTTCTGTCAAATTGTTATTAAATTTTCTAAATACTTAGTTTCTGAAATTGTCTCATTACATATTGCAAATGAGTATCAAATATCAATATCAAACTTTGCTTTTTTGAAAAGATTTTATTTTTATTTTATGTGTATGAATGCTTTGCCTGTATGTGTATAAGTGCATCTCGTGTGTGCC